ATTTAAATTACACATATAATCAGAATGTTCAGCAAAGTTGAGGTTTTCTAGGGCCCTCCATTTGGCGTCATTTACCTCTTCCTGTTTCCGCCTAAAGGGGCCCCGGAGACTGTCCACTTTCACCATGGCTTGAATCAATAACAGCCGGTTTATGAGTAAGTCCGGATAAAGATTAAAGACATCAAGATAGAGGAATCATGTACCTCAGCAAGAGAGCCCATTATTCAGTCGAAGTCCACGACCTGCAGATCAGGTATGGAAGCCTTCTCAAACCGGGTGAGGGTCCTTACCATCCGCTTCGCGAAGCCGGCGAGATCCGGCGGGTTAGGAAGCAGATCTGCATCAAAAGTAGTTCTTTCTGAGATAGAAGCAGCGTAGTTAGCATTCATTCGTTGCCGGCTGCTGACTGACCCTTTTGAAAAATCAACCTTGGTCTTGACTCTCATAAAATCAAGTGGCCAAGGTATCTCAGTTTGTTCCTTACCGTGAATTTCCGGTTGGGTCTCCGGATTGTTCTCCTCCCCAGTGGTTGCCGCACTGCTTGCAACCTTGGGTGTCTTGCCACCCTTCGAGGCCGTAGAGGCTTCCGGTGCTTTCTGTTGTTCTGAGCTTTCACTCAGTTTCTTCAGAACAGCACGGGACTTGCCCCTGTCGTTGGACGTCCAGATTGGGCAGAGTTTTGTTTTAGGAGGGGTCCTTTCTTGCGGCTTTGGCAGCCGGAGTCTTTTCCAGACCATCTCCTTGCCTTTTGAGAAGCTTGGAGAATGACCGAGGGATTCTCTTTGCGGACTCCTGAGAAAGAAGCAAATATGAGTATACCCAACCGGTATATATATAAAAAAAATGCCAATATTAAGTCAGGCGGTCTTACCCTGCCTTTCTTGTTGTCCTTCGCCTCGACGGCTGCCTTTTTGGCAAGAGGCGCCTCCTTGCGCAATTGCGTAGCCGATTTAACAAGAGTCTTGTCCTGGTCAACCATCTTCAGGGCTTCTTCTGCAATAACAAGAATTTCAAGTTAGAAAGAATTAAAGCAAGTTTGCAATAAAAAGAAAATAACAATTGTTCCGGGTGTGAAGTATTCTACCCTTAGGAAACATTGTGCTCAGTCCGCAGGTGGACAAAAAGCATTCATCTTTGAAGAATTCCGGGTGGGGGATCCAGTTCTTAGGAACAATAATGTGAGTCTCATCCCCCATGGGCTCAGTTGTAGTTTCAAAAAATCCCGGCTCCATGATCTGCTCCTGGGCTTTAGTAGATAGTTCTGGGAGAGGGCATTTGCGTCCAAGAAGAGCCGGCTCAGTGTTGTACCGGCGCAATGTCTGGTTGTGTCTTAGGGTGGGGGAGGAAATCAAATAAAACTTGTCCTTCCACCCGGACCATTGGGACACTTTATCCAAAGTCATTAAGTGTTGGGGCAAGGTAGTCAGAGTATACCATGCCCCATGGCTGCCTGGAGCCTTGCCCAAATAGTGCGTGTGAGCGAAGGCAGAGAAGCTAGGGTTCAAGTTTTGGAACTCACAAGCGGCAATGTAACTTTAAATGTTCACCCAAGAGTTTGGGGTGAGCTGCCAAACCCCCAGATCGTACCCCTTTAGGATTTTCCTAATCCCGGGGTGGAGGGGAAACCGGAGGCCGGCTTCTATTACCGCCTCATAGCAGATGAAGTAGTCATCTACATGATCAATGTCGTCCCCCCAGGCCATTACAGCATCAGCCGGAGGGACAATAACTTCCCATCCCCTTCCAAAGGGATGTTTCTCCTTAAAAGCCCTGAACCCGCTGTTAAGAAGGGCAATGTTGCTCGGCAGCATCCGGGTTCTCTTTGGGTTGGGGTTGTCAGCTACTTTTGGTGGCTGCTGATAGTCAGCCGCAAAATCCCCCTAGTCAGAGCCGGAAGATTCTTCTCTTAATCCCTGGGCGGCCTCAGCATCGCCGGCTTCATTGGAGGAGGCGGCTCCCTCGCCGTCCACCTGTCTCACCCCAAAGCTCCCGGATGTAGAAGGAGCCTCTTCGTCGGATCCACTCTCCTCCAAATCCCTCGGATCCCCATCCGGGAAAACCTCATCGGCAGGCACTCTCATGGTGCGCCGGCTCTTAGACCGCCTGGCCATTTGTTTCCTTGAGGCCATTGTGTCCTGCACAGACACAGAGAGGGAGGAATTCGGAGATGAGCATATTGGTTCCGACAGTCCAGAAGAGGCACCCCCTATTCTAGACTCAGCCGTTCCTGGGGATCGGCTGAGTGTCCTAGGCAGTGCCGAGTGGGTGGATTGGGAACTCATTTATGTTCTATTAAGAAAGCCGGGTATACAGGCGAAAAATGGTATGCAAATTAAAAGGGAGAAAAGCTAAAATGGTACAGGCGGTTACCTTGCTTTAACTCTGGAACATCTTAAAACCGCTACAGCCGGTGAGCCGGGTGATGAACTACTAAGTACTCGGAAGCTTGAAACTCGCTGATTATGCAGGCGAGAGCAGGGAAAAATCTCTCTAGAATCTCTCTTTTTCTCTCTCTAAAAAGTCAATGTAAATGTAAAGTGTGAAAAGGAGGGGAGGTAACTTTCTATTTATAAAAAGTAAAAGTGGGGGGAAAATTTTGATTTGAAATTCAAAATTTTACCTCGTTACTGTTCACCTATGAGAGGTGGACACGTGTCACAGGCCCCACGTGACATGCACGTGCGACCTGTGAGGGGCAAATGTTTAGGGTATTTTTACCCTAGACAAGTGGACCAATGAGAGGTCGCCACGTGTCGAGCTTAGGATGGCCCATGTGGCTCAACATCCTCTTGACACTTGGCGCCCTCAGATATGTTTCCAAAATGGCGGCCTTCAAAGGCCCAGATTCCTAAGCACGCCGTAAAACGGCGCAGCCCACTAAAATCTAGGTCAAGTGACCTAGGTAGGGGCGCATTTTCCAACGACCCTATAAATAGGGAGATATTTCCCCACTTTGGGGGACAGATTGAATCTTTAATTACACCCTTATTCTCTTACATCAGAGAAAGACCTAAGCTTGGAACCCGAGCAGATACCCACCTAAATTTTCGTTTTCTCTATTCCGTTTCAAGTTACTGACTTGTGCGTCGGAGGCGGAGCACCACCCAACCGGTGTCTCCGTTTGTTTTGCAGGTACAGCTCACTGCGGATCAGTATTCGTGTTGTAACTCTCCCAAGGACAAAAACACCCAAAACAATTATTACTTATCGGAAGCGGCCTCCCCCCAGGCATTCCGATCACTTGACCTTACTGAATATATTAGCTTTCTAATAATTCTGAACTCGCTATCAGAATAATACACTTGTTCGAAGGACACCATTTCTTTCAAAGGCCGCACGAATAATCGACGCCGCCTTAGAATATTGAGGACTATATGAGTCCTCGATAGAAATATGCCTTCACCAATTGAATACACTATAATTGTTATCACGTTGCACTGCATCAAATACCGCATACACAAGTGGGACATCCTCACTAGGTGTTGGAAACTTGAAAACCTCATTAAGATAGGAGAGAGGCACCGAATGATCATTGTTAAAAACTTGAAAAGAAATTCTTCTAGAAGTTTCACCTTCAAAATCCTCCTCAAGGACCTAAGTGAAGAGAGGAATTTGAAAGTAATCCGAGAGTAAGTAGGAGCATGAAGGCTTAGGAATTCCACTAACCCCAAGTTTCGAGCCAAAAATCTCACATCATCGTCGATACCAAACAAAGTAGTCGCCGACGAATCATATAATCTAGTAGAAAAGAGTGTCTGAGTTGAAAGCTTGGCAAATCTCTCCCAATGTTGTTCCTTTGTGAACTCAATTCCATAAGTCTCTGAAATGTGGGAAGGAGGAGGAACCACCTCCCTATAGGTAGAGCATTTAGCTCTCTTAGCTCGACGAAGAGGAACAATTCTACACACATAATTGAAAAATGCTCTAGTGAGTAAAGACTATGATTCACAAGTATGCATCTTGAGCAACAACACTCGACACCATCATCAAAAATAAACTATGCACACTAACATTCCCATATCAATATAGTCAAACTATAATTCTAAAAAAGGTGGTGCCAAAATTATAGTATGGTCAAGCAAAATTATAGTAGGCAATACGCATACAAATTTGACGCTAAAACCCAATGAATCTACACACTCATAAACAACCAAGGTAGAAAATTTATCATAAGTATCAATAGAAATGAAGAAATCATACCTTAGATTGATGAGAGTATACAAAGAAAAGGAACACAAAGCACTAGCAAACACAATCATGGCAAATTCCAAGCAACAAACCCCAAATTAAAGGGGTACCCAAAAATCCCAACTTTATGAAAGAGAAAATCACAATGAAAGTGTTAGAGTAGGGATTAAGAGTAGTAAGCAACTAGATGAAGTGAAAAATGGTGAAATTTCAGTAGTAAAATAATGAAAGAAAATGTGGATGAGGCTTGAACTATAACCTAGTAAATATGAAATGAAAATAAGAGAGAGAGAAAAAGAGAGAAGGTTGGTGCGTTTAAGGGGCATCAGCAGGGGGTGTGCGACCGCGCCACAAGACTGCATGCCCGCGCCATAGGGTCGCGTGGCCGCGCCTTAGTCTCGCGCGCCCGCGGCTTTCTAGGTATGCCATCATCCGAATCCCTTCTCGTGAGCACATCGGTGAGTACATGGGAAATGATCATGGTAAAGGTTGAGGCAAGAAGTTTCTAAACCCCAAGAATGCGGGTTCAACACAAGATTTTTATGAGCCCACCATTTGAACCCACCAAACTTCAACTTTTAGGCATACTTCCAATTCACCAACTTGAGCACTCTCTCTTCAAAATAGGCACCAAAATTTTTGGAAATCCAATCAAAACCACCTAAAAACACAATTAAGAAAAGAAATCAAAAAAGAATAGAAACAACAAAAAGAAAACGAAAAATCAAGAAAAATAGAGAAAATGGTTAGAAACTCGGGTTGCTTCCCGAAAAGCGCTTGTTTAAAGTCATTAGCTTGACATTCTCCACCCTTCAAGGTGGATCAAAGAGATTCATATCATGAACAACCCCCACAAAAACTCCATCATAGTAGCGCTTGAGCCTATGACCATTGACTTTGAAAGTTCTTGAAAAATCCAAAGGAGATATTTCAACCGCACCATTAGGAAAGACCTCTTGAACAACAAAAGGACCATTCCAACGAGACTTTAGCTTCCCGGGAAATAATTTCATCCTATAATTGTAAAGGAGGACCTTGTCACAAACATTGAACTCCTTCTTCACAATTAACTTATCATGCACTTCCTTAGTGCGAGTTTTGTACATGCTTGCACAATCATAAGCATCCAATCGAAGTTCTTCCAACTCATGGAGATCAAGCCAACGTTGCTCACCCGCACTTGCCAAATCGAAATTGATTTTCTTTATAGCCCAATGAGTACGATGCTCAAGTTCTACCGGAAGATGACAAGACTTCCCATAAACCAAGAGGTAAAGAATAGTGCCAATAGGAGTTTTAAAAGTCGTTCTATATGCCCACAAGGCATCATCTAGCTTATCCGACCAATCCTTCCTATTTCTTGCTACCGTCTTCTCAAGAATCAATTTGATTTGATGGTTAGACACTTTGACTTGCACAGTAGTTTGAGGGTGATAGGGGAGCCCGAAACGTTAATTAGCTCCATGCTTCTTCCACATCTTGCGGAAGGCGCTATGCACAAAATGAGATCCATTATCACTAATAATTGCCTTTGGGATGCCAAACTGTGGAAAGATTATTTTCTTGAACATCTTCATTGCTACCTTATGGTCATTTGTAGGTAAGGCAATAGCTTCCACCCAGTTTGACACATAATCAACAGCAACAAGGATATATTGATTCCCATATGAAGTAGGAAAAGGACCCATGAAGTCTATTCCCCATACATCAAAAATCTCCAACTCTAAAATGGGTTGTTGGGGAATTTCATTTCTCTTTGAAATGTTTCCGGTCCTTTGGCATTGGTCACAACTCTTGACAAACTCCCAAACATTGTTAAAGAGATTTGGCCACCATAGTCCGCATTGAAGCACCTTCGAAACCGTTTTTGAGACACCCATGTGACCTCCACTCGGATCCGAGTGACACATCTTCAACACACTAGGAAACTCTTCATTTGGAACACATCTCCTCAACAATCCATCAACACCCCTTTTGTACAAATCGGTTCATCCCAAACATAATTCCTAGCCTCTCTTTTGAGCTTCTTTCTTCGATTCTTGGAAAATGAAGGAGGAAATTCCCCTAAAGAAGGATAGTTCACCAAATCAGCAAACCTTGGGAATTCCTTCACATCTATAGCATACAAAGAATCATCTAACATTCTATCTTCAATGGGAAACCCATCATCTTGAACTTAAAAATCCTCAAGCCTAGATAGATGATCCGCTACCACATTCTCCGCTCCTTTCTTATCTCTAATCTCAAGGTCAATAGTTTGAAGCTGTAACACCCAACGAATTAGTCTTGGCTTTGATTCCTTCTTCCTAAAAAGGTATTTTAGGGCGGCATGATTGGTGAACACAATTGTTTTGGACCCCAACAAATAGCAACGAAATTTTTCAAAGGAATAAACAATAGCCAAGAACTCTTTCTCCATTGTAGTGTAATTCCGTTGAGCTCCATTTAGAGTCTTGGACATATAATAAATCACATGAAGTTTCGTATTAACTCTTTGACTTAGAACTCCTCCAACAGTCGTATCACTTGCATCACACATTAACTCAAATGGCAAATCCCATCTTGGAGCTTGAACAATTAGAGTGGAGATTAGAGCTTTCTTCAACTTATTGACTGCCTCCAAACACTTGCCATTGAATACAAACTCGACGTCCTTTTGAATAAGATCATTGAGGGGATTTTCAATGAGTAAAAAATCTTTATGAATCTTCTATAGAAACCGGCATGGCCCAAAAATGATCTCACACCTTTCACATTGACCGGAGGTGGCAACTTTTCGATAACCTCAATCTTTGCCTTATCAACCTCTATGCCCTTGTGGCACTTTTACCAATTCAACACCAAGTTCACTTTCTCACATCTTGCCAAACACTTTTTAAGATTTTCGAGGCATGCTTCAAAGGAAACTCTACCTATGGAAAAATCATCCATAAACACCTCCATCTCCTCCTCCAACATGTCTCCAAAGATACTCATAATACACCGTTGGAAAGTGGCGGGAGCATTGCAAAGGCCGAATTGCATTCTCCCATAAGAAAAAGTACCATAGGTACAAGTAAAAGTAGTTTTCTCTTGGTCATCGGGATGAATTGGAATTTGGAAAAATCTCAAGTAACCATCAAGGAAACAATAGTACTTGTGCCTCGTTAGTCATTCAAGAATTTGATCAATGAAAGGAAGGGGGAAATGATCTTTCTTAGTGGTTGTGTTTAGAAGTCTATAGTCTATACACATCCGCCAACCGGTGACCGTCCTTGTTGGAATTAGCTCATCTTTTTTCATTCTTGACGAAGGTCATGCCTCCCTTCTTTGGAATGACATGAACGGGTGAGATCCATCTAGAGCTTGAGATGGGGAATATGATTCCTGCATCTAAAAGCTTAGTAATCTCTTTCTTCACTACCTCCCCCATTTAAGGATGTAATTTCCGTTGTCGTTCAATAGAAGGAAAGGCACCATCTTCAAGGGTTATGTGGTGTGTGCGTAAAGTGAGCTTATACCTTTGAGGTCATCAATGGTATAACCCAAAGAACCTTGGTGCTTTTTCAAAACACCACATAACACTTGAGCTTGGATTTTAATCAAAGATGCACTAACAATCACGGGGTAAGTAGAATTTGAGCCTAAGAATTCATACCTTAGGTGTGATGGTAAAGGTTTGAGCTCTACCATAGGAACACCATCTAACAAGCTCTCATACAAAGACATGTCCTTGCTAGGAGTACCTATCTTTTCCTTGTTCAACAAAGCACACTCAAGAGGATCATTAGTTGTGAGCAAGTGCTCATGCATTGAGTGTACAAGATTATCTAAGATTTCAACTCTCATGAAATTCTTAAGAGATGAAGAAGGATATTTCATACTTTCATTCAAATCAAATTCAACTCCTCATCTCTAATTTTAAGTGAAATCTTAGCACTTTTGACATCAATCAAGGCACCCGAAGTAGCAAAAAATGGTCTACCAAGAATAATAGGAATTGTAGAATCCTCGTCTATGTCAAGGACCACAAAATCTATCGGAATGATGAACTTCCCAATCCTTAAGGGAACATCCTCTACCTTACCCGTTGGGATCCTATTTGTTCTATCGGCTAATTGCAAGGTAATGTTGGTAGGTAAAAGTTCTCCCTTCTCTAGTCTTCGATATACCGAGTATGGCATAATACTAACACTAGCTTCTAAATCACATAAAGCATTATCAATTTGCATTTTATAAATAGTACAAGGGATAGAAAAGTTTCCGGGGTCCTTCAACTTGGGTGAGATTTTGTTCATTATGATTGCACTACAATTCTCGGTCAAGTTAACCATTTCCGCCACATCACATGTCCTTTTTCTACTCAAAATTTCCTTACGGAACTTTGCATAATTTGGCATTTGTTCTATCACACCGGTAAAAGGAAGAATAAGGTGAAGTTGTCTATGCATCTCTATAAATTTCCCAAATTGCTTGTCTAGCTTGTGCCTATTAAACTTTTGGGGGTAAGGGAGCTTAGGTTTGTATACTTATCTTTCTCTCTCTTTCACCTTCTCAACTTGTTCCTTATTGACATCCTTAACTAAAGTATTCTCATCTCCCTCATTCTCAATTTTGCCATTGCTAGGACTATCATTAACATCACTCTACTTAGAGATTTCACTCTTAAGGACCCTACCACTTCTAGTCACAATAGAATTCACAGGGCTCTTAAGATCTAAGAATTGTAAAGTGAAAGATGAAAGATTTGTGAATTCCTTAAACTCATTAGCCAATTGAGAAATTTGGTTCTCGATCTAATCCTTTATGGCAAGTTAACATGTCATTGAATTTCTCATTTCTTAGGGTCATGTAGGTGTCCAACAATTTGTCTTGCTTCTCTATGACACCTTCCAAGAAAGTCCTAGAGGAAAATGATTGATCATACAAATAATCACTATGCTCTTGGGTATTCGGAACAAATCCAAGTGGGGCATCTCTTTTACCATTCAATGTAAATTTCTCCTACTTTGATTGTTCCAATTACCTCTACATTGATTTTGGCCACTATCGTGATTATGGTTACCATAACCTTGGTTATAGTCCCCATATCCTTGGCCATGACTTTGACCATTATAACTATGGTTGTTATAGCTACCACAATTCCCTTTGATTCCATGGTTTCTATAACCGCCATTTTGGTTATAATTGTCATAGTTCATTTGGTTGTGATAATTCCTATTTCCTACATTCCTTTGAGCATCAAGTCTTGGTCCAACATTGTTATTAGCAACTAAGTTCACATATTCATTCTAACTCCCAACATATTCATTACAAGGAACATTAGGGCAAAAAAAAGCGTCATGGTCATTCATTCCCCACAACTCACAAAACCTACATTCTTTAATCATGTAACAAGAAGAAGGAAGAGATTTATAGGAAGGAGTAACTTTCCCCTTAATTTGGGAGGAAAGAATTTGTGCTTGTGAGGTCGCGCTCTCGAGCTTATACTTAATAGAACTACCTCCTTTCCCAAATCCGAAATTTGAGTCGACAAATTGTTGATAGCATTGAGTTGTTCAATTGAGCATCCCATTGTATTACTCTTGTTTATCGACTCCTTCTCACGATCTTGCCATTCCATGTAGTTTCTAACTACATCCTCAATGATACCTACAACCTCTTCCTCGGTCTTATTCATGATTGGGCCTCCGGCTCCGGCATCTAGACTTGCTCTCCCTTGAGGACTCAAAGAGCCATAAGAAAATTGAATGATTAGGTAAGTGGGGATCCCATGGTGAGGACACTCACGTTGGTACTCTTTGTATCTCTCCCATGCTTCATAAAGACTTTCAATAGACGTTTCCTTGAAACCTTGAATCAAAGCTCTTGCCTCCGCCGTTTTCTTTTGAGGGGAGAAACGGGAAAGGAATTCCTTGGTGACTTCATCCCATGTTCTAAAAGAATTAGGCTTCACTTCCTTATCTAGCCACTCTTAAGCTCTTCCAATTAGAGAAAAAGGAAATAGCTTAAGCCTTATGAATTCTTGAGAAACCCCGCTCACCTTAATTGTGTTGAAATATTTCTCGAATTCCTTAAGATGATTTAGGGGGCTATCATTAACTCTCCACTATATTGCCTCCTTTCGATTAAAGTTATCATTGCCGGCTTGATTTTAAAATACTATCCGGGATTAATAATGGAGCAATTCCGCTCTCGTACTTGTATGCACCCAGAGTGCCAACACCTTTAATGTAACTCTTTGAGCTTCTCCCATGTTCACTTGCACACACATACTCAAAGGAAAATATTAGTAGCACAACTACAAATGTAGCCTAAAGAAGAAAATATTTTTGTGTTTTTTCAAATAAGGTGAAATAGACTCAACAATAATAGCAATCATCTACGCCACTCCCCGGCAACGGCGCCATTTTTTTCTAGGGCGAGACTAGGTCGTTGAAAACTAAACTACCCTTGGTCAAAACAAAATTTATAATCTCTCAACACACCCCTATACAAAGCATAGAGTAAGTCGAGTGTCGAACCACTAGGAATGGGAGGTGAATGCTAAAGTCAAAGCTAAGCGATTTTAAAGCAATGAAATGAGGTGTGTTTATTCTACCAATCAAACAATCGAAATGAAAATCAAATTTAACAAGCACTAGGGTATGGATCCACATATACTCGTAATTAATTCAACTAATTGGGATTGGAGATGACTAAGTCAAGTGTTGCGAGGTAAAATTGATTAAGCAATCAAGAGAGTATGGTAGGCTAATCTCCTAGAGGTCAAACTAGTGCCAACTACGAGAGACTCTAGCTAGGAAACTTGCAAACCTAATCAATCGACAAATGTAAGCCACAAATCAATTTTCCATATCAATGTGAACCTACAATGCAATCTAGTATGAGAAACTTAGGT